TTGCCATAGTCTCCCGAGCAGTCGACCAGCTGCTGCTCGCTCAGAGACACCAGCTTTCCTGTCTTCCTGAAGTGCTGACCCTCCAGTGAGCCAGTCTGCAACAAGCGTCAGTCAGTTTGAAGCCAACAGTCGAGCAAAGTTTCCTGCTTTACAATAATAGAGAAGACTACGTTATATGTACTCACTGCACTGAAGGCCCAGCAGGAGCCACACTGCTTCTGATCCTTGACATCAGTGACGTATCCCTTATCTCTCCAGTCAACAGTGTCGGGCAGATCAGTACCTTCAGGTAGTCTAAGTCTGAAGAAGGTAGAGCCACGACGAGGCAGAGAAGCATTGAAGGAGTGAAGGCAGCCCTGGGAAATCACTCGTTTGTACTCTTCATTTTCCTGATGAAGAAGAACATAATTCTGGGCTTATTGGGTTGTTATCCAAAATGCTATTCTCTGTGTCGTTCTCTGCTAATTGCAGTGAAAAATGCTGATGACCTACACATAAAAACCTAAACGGACATACAAACATACCATGTCAGCAAAGTAGGTCATGCCGAGGCGGTAGGACTTCAAACCCTGGTCTGCCAAGATGTTGTGTACAAGCACAAATTTGCGGTTGTTGAGCCAGATCTGCCTCCGGTGAGCCTCCTCTGATGGAGAGTGGTAGGATCTTTCTGCCATTTTGAAAAACAATTGTCAGAAAGAGAATGAAGGAACCAGGATGAATCCTTAAATATTAACAATCTAATTTCCAGTAAGAGATTTTCCTTTATTCTAGTCTTATAATGTTTTACAAGCATGTGAGCGTGAGCAAGGCCAAATTTAAGGGTTCCTTTAAGACCACGAAACGTGATGAATATCATTTGACAAAAAGCTCAAACAAATAGGAGAGGAAGAGTCTGCTGTCTCACCAAACTTGAGTTTCCAGGCATGAAACTCCAGATCTTCCAGAGAGATGCTGGCACAGCTGGCCACAGCCAGAACAGCAGCAACAACAAGCAGCAACTTCATCTTGACTGGACACAAGCAGAAAAAGACACAGATGCTGTGTGGTGTGCAGAAAACCAGACAGCTTGTTTCTGATGCCTGTCACATCAGCTTTAAAATACTCTCTATCGTGATGTTGGATGTCACTTCCACACTACCACAGTATCCGCTCTACGTCCTGGTTTCTTTAACTTTCTGTTTCATCTCTCCTTTCTATTCTTTCTCAAATGAATGACTCTTTCATCATTCTGTCACTAAAAAGTGTAGTCTGTGTGTGCAGTTGTCTGTGCTGTAGCTACTCACCTGGCTCGATGTCAGTGTATGTGCTGAAGACTGAGGTAGAAGCACCTGTGGGTGTTGTAGAGCTGTCTGAGGAGTTCTTATATAGCCAGCTACAGTTATGACTACAGTATTCCAGTCAGGTGGCTGTCAGCAGGTCACAAAAAATTACACATGAAAGTCAATCATTGAAACAGACAAAGGTGGAGTTATACATTAAGAGGAGGATCGCATGACAACACTGTTTTGAGGAAATATTTTAGTCAACCTAAGCAAAAACACTGAACGTTACTGTCATGAATCCTGTTTACTGCTTTTTTCTTTGGTTTTATGGGTGTTTTTGAGGGCATGATCAGTTTTGGTTTAGTCATATGGATTCACGTTCAACAAACACCATATGCCTGTATGTGTTATTGTAATCTGTTTCCCACCACAAAGAGATGGGAAGTCTCCAAAACGAACAACAGCAGAACAAAAACAAAGCAGACGTTCAGAAACAACACAGCGTGTGTGCTAATGTGTCATCCACCTGCGAGCTGAAACCTTAAGAAGAAACAGATTACATGATTCTGGAAAATATGCAAAATCCTCATAGAGGTGCTTTTATTTCTTGAAATTGTAGGTGGCACCTCAGCTAACACCCACTCAGTGAATGTTGTTTGATGAGTTACATG